GACACAAAGGGGTAAATTAAACCTGTTCCTATTAATAAATTATGAACAGGCAAAAATTCATTCAAGGATACCATATGTTGTAAAACAAAACAATATGCGTATCAACTTCTGAGATCAAAAAAGGCAAATAATAGAACCATAAATATTTTCAAAATTTATCTATTTAAATATTAAGACTTAGATAATAATAAATATAAAGAATTGGTTATCAATAAAAATTGATATTTGTATTGGTTTTTAAACCGTAGGAAAAAAACAACTTGCGACAATTTTAGATGGCGGTTTGAAACGGAAGTGAGTCGTTTATTAAATTTAATACAGATGGCACCTGTTGTACCATTTCATATTGACCAATCAAACGTGACAGATATACAAGGGTATAAGAAAATATATAAATAGCAAAATTATGAGTGGTACCAAAGATTATATCGAAACAAACGTTTGTAATTTACACGAATCTATATTTGATTGACTAAAATTAGATCGAAATTCCGTCCTATTTTTAATTAGGATAAAGACAGTTGCAGTCAACATTTTCCGACAAAAATGCAATTGATTCTGGAAAGTTTATTTTTAGTTTGTATATTTACTATTTAAATCTTAAGTGAGCTGAAAGAATTTGATGACCATGCATATATAATTTTGCTACTTCTTTACTTGATAAGACAACTGGATATTTAATAGCTATAGGGTAATTGAAAAATAACATAAACAAAGTATAATTGTTTGTTTTTTGATATTTTACAAATAAAAATAGTTGATATGCGTTTAGAATTACAGCCTAAGCAAATATTTGTTACCTAGTTTGCTTGATTACCTATTTACCAAAAACATAAATAAATTAAGTCTACCCACATACATATTTATTACTATGTTATGAGTAATAGTAACAATTTTAACAATTCCTTAAAACAAAAACAACACACAATACACACTGTATTACACAGTTGTCGAATTAGATACAGTTTTTAATAACAAGTCTATTATACTCTGAATGAAAAAACAAACTGTAGTTGGCTGTTTTTAAAAAAGTATTTCAGATTAATTAAAAATAATTGTAAATTATGTCAAAACGGTAAAATCCGAACATGTAGCCATTGTGTTTAAAGTTTTCTAAAAATTAAGTATTTAGCAAATTTTTTTATTTATACGTGTATTTGCAGATGTCTTGGTTAAAAAAGACATTAAGAAAAACCTGTTTTTTTGACGTTTAGTGTACATAAATTGTAAGGAAACCATTTTAATATCAACAATACTAAGATTTCTAAATTTTAGTGCAAAATTTAGAAATCTTAGGTTATTTAAAAAAAGCAGAAAATCTAGAAAATTATCGATGATCATGAAGCATCATCTAATAGAGATTCTCTTTTTAACTACTACGCTTTACTCGATAATGTATTTGCGCTTTGACTTTGGCTCATTTCCAATACAATCTAAGAGTATTGGTTAAGAGGTCCTTATTAGTTTTCCATATGAATTAGCAGTTTTCTCCCCTTATGTAATTAAAGAGCAACTGTTTAAAATGGATTAAATTAAAGTCCTGAGTAGAAGGTTTTTATTCAAAGTAGACAGATTTATATCGCATACGGCATACCACATAATTATTGTTCTGGAATAATATTTTCGGCAGAAAAATGTAACTTAACAATATTAGCAAAGCTCTAGTCCCTAATCAATTGATTTATTTCAATATTTTCTGCATTTGAGATTTATGTAAAATCTCTTGGTCCAAAGGTCACTTACAATTAATGTTACTATACCTATAGTTTTTTATATTTTGTCACTTTGATGAAATCTATCGCAATAGCTGTGACTCATATATCATGATGATGTGGTATATACATAAATGTTCTGGAACAAAATGGATAACACTATGAACTTAATTCGGATCTTTAAAAATCATAAAAAATATGAAAATTAGATCCTTATTAAATATCAAAAATGAATTATGTAATGATATTTGTGCTCTGTCTCTCCTCAATTACAACTTAAGAACTTTAGCTGGCTCAATACCTCAACACCACGTATTTGGATGATCATTCTGGAACAAAAATGATCGCCAAAAAATAAAATATTACATATTAAAAATATTAGAAATAATCGGACTAGGTCAACATGCCCTTGTATCGGGGCCATAGTCCCTGACGGGTCGATAACGATATTTCCACGCCTGCCCAGATCGGCTCGAACGTCTCCTCTACGTACTATACAACGAGCCGCCGCGATCTGCGCCATCAAGTTGGCCCTGCGTCCTATACCGTGCTCATCGTTTAATTAAACGCGACCTGACAAACAATCACCGCGCTTCAGTAGTGTGCTGTGTTTTATTATACTTAGTTAACAAGTGATTTCGAGAAGGCCATGGACGAGCACCAGGTCAAAAGCGCCGCGACGGCTCTCGTTGACGACGTGATCAATGGACTGGATGTCAAAAAGGGAGGCGCAAGTGACAAGGCGACCAAAAGATCTTTGCTTTGCGTCATGTTCACACCGAGTACGTATTTTTCTTGATCAAATAGGGTTTTGTTGTATTTGTTCGACTAGGTAGATAGAACGCGGTTTTTACAACGTTTTTTGTTACTTCGTGCTGGGTTTTTATGGTCGACGAATACACAAGTGGAGCCTGCAATTACATTACGTAAATCGTTGTAAACAATGATACAAGTGTAATCGGAAAATACCGTATTCTCTTCATTATTTTTTTATCTAAAAGCGCCTGTTATTACTTTTAAATTAATTTATTTGGTAGTGCTTGTAAAGAAATGTTTTTCTGGATCGTATTGTAATTCCCTGTTTAAAATGTTAAATTTATTGCAGTCACATGCAAACAACATGTTGATTATTTTAATGACATGTATCTAAAATATTTTTAAATTGCAAGACTTACCACTTTTAATTGTTGAAATACATAATAAAGTACCACATGACGTCAAATTAATTAATTCCCATAATAATTCAAGGTTAATCAAATTTTAGGTAAATTTAATGTTTTCTGAAAAAATCCCCAGTGGTGAATTTCACCAATATAATCAATGATCACAAGTATTTAAAAGTAAATACCGAAAGTAATATCGAAAAAGATTTTATATTCAGGTTAGACATCTTTAATTAAATATCTTGGTTACCTCTTTTGAATATATTTACATTTCTGTTGAATGATGTAATATAATAACTTACGTATGTAAATTAAATGTACAAAAAACTATTAGTTTAAGTGGTATATATTACTATATATTATATATATATATATATATATATATATATATATATATATATATATATATTATTATATAGTCGGTTAAACTTTGATTTAAAACAAAATATTTAATTTATATTTTAATTCAAAACTATCGATTCGCGATGCATTTTATTTAAAAATAATAAAAAATCAAGGATTTTCATCATTAAGCAGCTCAGTCACATTGTCGTCACCTTCGTTATTCAACGCTTCGCAATTATGATTAATATTTTAATGTAATCTTAAATTAATATTTTTTTTCTACAAATTACTCACTTAAAAACAATAGAACTACATAATATAGAACTTATAATAATAGAAACTGATAATATTGTGTAATTATTAATTGCTAAGATTATTAATTTTTGAATGGTAGGTATTTAATATTTTATCTTATCTGTCAAATAAATTACTTCATGATTTTGATATGTAGATATGTGTAATTTGTATACATTCCAATGTCGAAAATTGTGATATTAAATTTTAATGATAGAATTTTTTTTGCAATTAATAATATTATAAAAAAATATGATCTAAGTATGATCTAAAGACCCCCAGGAATCCCAAAAAAATGTTAAATACCTAATTTCTTTTACGTCAGACTACGTCTCTCTCCCTATAAATGACTCTTGATTTTTTTAAGCATTCTCCAAATACAAGATACATATCACAATACACGTAAATATACCACATAAATGCTATGGCAATATAAAAAGTGGCTGAAATTGAAATTTTTTTTGACCAAACTATACCACCAGTTTAAATTCGCAGATTTATTGTATCAGTATCTTTTCCAAATATCCAATTACACACAAATCCGCTTTTAGATACAGCTATAGCTGGATATATAGAGCATTTAAAGAGCTTCCTTATAACAACAGTGCATTCCTGTAGAAACATTAACAGCACAGCTATTACTTTTTATTTACACACAGTAAATTTTACAGTCCCAATAAAGCCTCGACCTTTCCCTTGACATTAACGTTTCAAAACGTTTATTGACCTTTTTGAAGCTGCTTATATTCTTTAAAAATGTTTACTCGTACGTCTTCTATCCGGTGACCCCTATACAATGCTATTAAGTAATTCATAAGATCTAATGTCTGCAGAAATGTGACTAAGTAAGTGAATATCGGATATAAATAATCTATGAGACGTCATTATCTAAAAAAGTAATTAATTTTAAAAATGTGTTTCCTATTTTATAACGTAGTCTTTTAACATAGACTGCAGACAATATGACTAGAATTTTTGTCTGAGACGTGGTTTTATTACAATAATTTACAATGTAATTTTACATCTAATAGCATAATGTAACTAAAATTATGACTATTGTTTAGAATAAAATATTTGTTTAGCAAATATTTTACATTCCAAGAATAATGATTAAATAATATAAAATAAAGAACACATTTATAAAATGTATTAAGAAATATAGTAAAATATTTCTTACCAAACTTTTCCACAAATGAAATATCTAAAAAACGTTAAAAAATGTAATAAAATAATAAAAAAAATCTGTGAAATTTTATACTAAATGACTAAAAATGTATGCAAAACAGTGGGGCACTAGAAAGACTTCATCCCGGCCCTGAATATAATAATAAAAAAAGGAAAAATTAATAACGATACAAGTGATACATACGAGTACGTTGTTGATTTAAATGCATGCATAAATAACATCACGAAGCAATTAATTTATTTATTAAATAATTAATTTTGTAAATAAACTAACAATGCACTAACTAACATTTCTTTACAGATGCATGGTTTAACCCAGAAAGACTGAACCCAAAAGGTAAGCAGCCTTTTTACCTACTCATTGCTAGTTAAATATATAGGGTGTTTAGAACCAAATATCATGTATGTTATTAGTTTTTGGAATATTTTATTTTTTTATATTTGTGCGCTACCTTATTGGAAGTTATACCTCTTTGGTGTGCATGCAAATAATTTAATGTAAGCAGGAAAAGACACTTCTCCTCCTAAGTACATAATAATTAAATATTAATTTTCATATAAAAACACTTATAAGTCAATATAGAAATACTTCCTATAAATAATGGTTCAAAAGTAAAATTAATTTTTAATAATTATTATAAAACTCCGTTTAAAAATTAAGCTTAAATGTTAGACTGACATTGTCAGTTGTTAAATGTCAAATATTTACAAATAAAATTGGCTTTAAATTTTATTCTTAGTAGAAAAGTACACTCGTTTGTAAACTTCTCTAGACACTCGTTTTTTTAAACACTCGCTCGCAAGCGTCCCTCTATAATTAAATAGTATGCAACTCTTAATGGTGTTTATAAAAGTTGATACATAAAATACTGTTCTATCACCTTAATTCAAAGAAATTTTTGCACGTAAATTTAGTCATTAAAAGTGTTTAAAGGTTTATTATTTTTGACCTCCAAGTTTATTTCATCAAGTGCTTAATAGATAAATAGATCTGTATTAAGTGCGGTGGATAGGCGTGTGGTTAGTTGCCTACATATCGCTCTTGTTTTTCCTTTATATAAATTTCAGAGAAAAAAGTTTTCCCTTGGGGTTCAAATTGCATTTAATATTTTATTGGTTAAGGGGGTTTTAATGAATGTAGGAGCAGGCCACCTGTTAATTTAAACGTGTTAAACATTTGACAAAATTGCGCGCCGAAATGTTAAGTACGGCGAAATAAAAATGTAAATTTTTCCCGGTTCAAAACTAAAAAATATAAAAATAAACATGGCGTACAGAATAAATAGTTGTAGTATGCATGTCAATTACACATAAAAAATATTGACATAATGTTATCAAACAAACCTAGCATTCACCTCTAGTAAGGGTGATATGGACGTTGCCATATTTACGGAAAATCGGAAATAGAACAAAGGAAATTGCACATAAAATATGTATACAATTTTCTGAAGAATTCAAAAATTGAATAATATTCAGTGTGTTGTATTTTAACCGCAAGGGTAGATAAAATGAAAAGCAAAAGCAACTGGTTGTAGTTTAAAGATAACACAATTAGTTCAATAGTAGTATAAAAACATTAACACGTTTTTTTAAAATTACAATGAAAATATGATTTATGTTTTTTAATTTTCTATTGTTTTTGTACTGTAATGTAAAATGTAAACACAAATGTAATAGTAATTGTTGAATATTACAATGTAGGAATTAATTACCTTAAAGTTTACCTTAGTGAAATTTATTACTTCTTATTATACCAAATTCAAATTTATATGGAACAAATATGCACTTGTCCTGTTTTTGTTTTTAATTTAATGCAGTCATTTTAATAATAATAATAATAATAATAATAATAATAATAATAATAATAATAATAATAATAACAGTTTTATCTGCCATTGAAACATTAATTTCGAAACACGCTGTATGAAATTTGAAAGAAAACCTCGTCTGACAAAGGGAAAAAGAAACCCGTGGAAACAAGTGGAAACGGAAACGCTCCACTTAATAATTAACAACGCAATTGGCTTGGCGCGCGCACCACCCCAATTCAACCGACACAGTGTTGCCAGGTCTACTGTTTTTATTTACAATTAGGTTCAAATCACAATTAGGCTAAATACATTTGCTTAATAGATAAATAGTTATCTACTAGGGTGGGTGCAGAACATTTTCTCTAGCAATGTATTTTATATAACTGAGCCCTTTCTTGTATCTACTGTTGCTAAGTGGAAAGTTTACCTACCTATGAACAAGAAAGTTAAAACTAGCCTCAAACTCTGGAGTATTGTTAGATCTAATCACTAAAGGGTATCTAAAAATGGTAGCTGGCCATCTTTTTACAATTTAAAGGTAAAAATAATTATTCAATTTGGAAACAAAATCATCTAAGCCGCAAGCGTTTTCATCGAAAATAGCAAAGATATAGTCCACGTATTTTATAAGCGTACAGTTATTTTTTTTATCTGGACTCGTGTTTTTTTGTTAGGTTGGTGGCTTATGCCAGTTTTACTTGGTATTTTTAGTATTTAAAACTTCTGCTAAAGAATTTATAAATTCTTTAATTATAATTAAATACTTTGACACTGTCAAATTGATAATAATATTTCTTGCAATTACTTGTCAATTATAAATAAAAAGATAATTATGACAAAAATAATAGCATCGAATTCGAATGTAGAAGACCTTTTGAGGGCAAAACTTCATTTTGATGAAATTATGCCAAATGCCACAATGGAAGAAAAAGTACATCGCCTTATGGACATTTTTGGAGTAAAAAAATAACGAATTTGGTTTTATAAATATTAAATCACACTTTATTTTCACATTATTCACATTTACGTTCACAAAAAAATTTAATTTCTTTTATATAAATTCTTTTCAAAGCGAAGATATTATCCGCTAAGAATACTTTCTCTTCTGGGCCGTAAAGCAACCTATATTTAACTACTTTTTTATATGATTTTACTCATCCAAGCACCACTAAAGCCAAATTAATTGCATTTTTAACTACGAATTTCGACAACTCAACTTGACAACTGCGCAATGTAACCCACAATAATTTATACATAACCACAATTAGATTTATAACTAGCTTAGTTTGTTTTAATCAATGCGACCAACTTGACAACTGTATTTGCCAACCAAAACTCCAAATTTGCAACGTTGCCGCAGTCCAGATAAAAAAAAGAACTCTGGCAACACTGCCGACACACGATAAACGCACTCGCAGCAGTTTTTCAGGAAGGGTAGCGCAGTTTCGTTGGCGTCGCGGTGGTCGTCACAGTCGTCATTTGGTTGGTGCGTGTTCTCGTAAGTCATTTTTAGAAGCTGCTTTTTGACCGTGGCTCCTAGCCAACAAACTCTCGACCGGGCGGACGATTCACTCAGTTGTACGGTAGCAGTTTTATTAGGGTGACCATGGACCAACTTTACGACACGGTCATGCAACGGGAATACCGTAAGTTGCGTTTTTGTTGAAAGAGTTTCCGAGAGTGCAGCAGCAGCCCATAAGAAACCCATCGAACCTTAATACTCGTTCGATCGCCTCATCGCTACCAACCCCCGGCATAATACAGACGCAAAACAGTAGGTTTTTCCGTGTTGCTTCTTGTAAGGTTTCCGTGCACTAACATTTAGTAACTCTTCACTAACCCCGGGCTTCGTCCTTGCGGCATTAAAATGCTCTCCAAATAGATAAGAATGTACATCACTCGCGTGCCAATTATTTTCCCAACAATTCGTCGCTACACTGTTAAAACCGTTTGCACGGTTTAATTTTTTTCAGGCTGAAAAATCACCGCCTAAATTTAGATCACACAATTTTTTCCGCCGGTCATTGATTTTTCTTGTACCGTCCTTGGATGTTTTTCTTAACTTTTATAGGTTACGAAGCATGTACTACTAGTTAAAACTCTATACTTCCGTCCCAAATGAGAAAAAATCTTTTAAAATTTTTTTGTTTGCACCAATGTTGTGGACTTACTGCGTGGTTATATATTATCATCAGAGAATTAATAGAATAGATTTGTAGACATCTAAGTTACTTCTTGATATTGCTGCTTTACTGTGTCTTTTAGCTTGTCTAAAGACACCATGTTTTGGTTGTATATTATGATAATAATAATAATACCATTCAAGTAATTTTAAATATTTTATAACCAACTTATTGTCTATAAAAATGCAGTAAAACATTCTTTGGGACAGCAGTACAAACAATACATTTTTTATCATTTATTTTATGTAGGTAAACTATGTAAGTATGTATGAAGAATGCAATACATGTTATTAACATATTTGTGCATGGTCTAACGAGCTAGCTATAAAAAGTAATGGCAATTTTCGATATCGGCTATACATATACTTACGGATTTATTTTTAATTACTTTTCGCGGTCGAGTTGCGACTAAACGTTAAATTGGTTTTCAAAAATAGATATTGACATAAAAGCGTATCAACACTCGGCTAAATTAATTAATTATTTCGCGCTGAAGTTCCGCAAGGTATATTAAACGTGTTAATTTTTGTTGTTATAATTTGTTTAAAACCACTCTAAAATGTAAATAAAGAATTTTAGAAGAAGATGAGCTCTTAATATTAATTTGAAAGTCTGAGATTTTTTATATTTTTTGCCTGTTTACCTTGGCATTGATTACTTTTAGGAATGGTACGAATTAATTCACTTAAACTTAATTTAATTCGTAAATTAAATCAAATGACTTTAAGAAAGAATTAATTTAAAAATTTATTTTTAATTTTTAAATTGCATGGTTTGGTCCCAGTCCCACCAAGTGTCTTTCATAGAAATAATTAAGGTTAATTTTCGTCTTATTTTCTAAAAATAATACAATATACATATGTATTTTTTATGATATATGTATTTTTTATGATATAAATTAAGACCTTTATACACAAAAAATGGATACCTATATTGCATTATTTTCAGAAAATATATATGACGAAATTAGATTGACTGACAGAAAATTAACCTTCATTATTTTTATCAAAGACACGTGGTGGGACTTTGATGTGTGGAGCATAGCACATACTTAATATATGTAATAGTAATTTATGATATTAGTGCTAAAAATGAAAATTTATTTTGTGAGAACAAAATAAAATCACTATAAGTATACCTATCATAAACTATTTTTTATACAAAATACTCAATATCATTTTGAAATTTCTTTATTTTGTTGAAAATGTAAAATATTAATCAAATAAAAGCCAAACTTGCAATTTCCAAATTTTATATTTTTTATATTACCTATATTAAATGGTTATATTTTAAGGTTTACAAAAACCAATAGAAACTTTCAATTTCAGTCATGTGTGTATATT